AAAGGAAGTGTCAAAGAAGGAAAAAGTAGAACTGATGCTGCCGCAAATTCTAATCAAGATGAGGATCTCCATTGTTTGGTTACTGCTGATACTGAGGAAAAAGTGACGATTGCTGTAAAAATGATTGACAAAATTATTGAAAATGTAAATTTTATTTATTTGAGATGGGTTTAAAAATAAAAATACATCAATTATTTAATATATTTTTTTTTAACACAATAATAGTCAGCTTCCGTTCCTGAAGGTCAAAATGAACTTAAAAGACAACAATTACGTGAATTGGCAGCTCTTAATGGTACACTGAGAGATGATGAAAATCAAATTTGTACAAATTGTGGTGCAACTGGTCATAGAAAATATGAATGTAGTGAAAGTCAAAATTTCACTATAAATCTTACTTGTCGTATATGTGGTGGTCATGGTCACACTCTCAGAGATTGTATGGAAAGAAATAATCCAGAAGCTTTACAACAAGCCAATCAAAGAGAACAAAGATTAGATAGTGAATATTTGAATTTGATGGCAGAATTAGGTGAAGATATTAATGATGCTTCAATTAAAACTGTATGTATTATCATTGTTGCTGTTGTTGCTGTTGTTGTTGTTATTTTCTTGATAGCAAAAAAATAACAATTATAAAAATAATAGGGCCATTATGGGCCTACTAATGCAGCCAAGCTACCGTGGGCCCAAGCTGCTGCAACACCATTAACACCTTGGGCTGCAGCTGCAACTGCAACTACATCAATGAAAACTCCTACAGTATTGTCTACAGTACCTCCTTGGCAATTACAGCAACCTGTAGCATCCCCTACAATTCCTCCACCGCCAGGTAAATGTGTGTTCTTTCCTAAATGTAATAATAATATAAATAATAACAATAATATATTAATTATCATTAGGTTTAAGTAATTCGCCACCGCCACCGCCACCAGGGACACAAGAATCATGGAGTGCAAAAACTGGTTCTATTAATACTAATACCTCATCAACTACTACATCTCTTTATTCAACACCGCCGCCACCACCGCCACCTGGCTCTTCTTTACCATATACATCAGCAACAACTGTTGCATCTTCTTACTATTCATTTGCATCTACTCCAACAACCGGTTATACTTATCCTGCTTATTCGAACAATGCTACTAATTACGGTAATACTGTTTATTATGGAACAACTGGTTACTCGCCTGCAGCAGCTGCAGGTTATCCTCCACCTCCTCCATCAGCAATTACACAATGGGTAAAAAAATTTTTTTTGAAAATTATATTTCCCAAATGTGATTATGATATTAACTTTTTATTTTTAATATCTAGCAACCAACGCCACCACCACCGCCACCACCACCACCGCCACCACCACCACCATCATCATCATCGTAGAATATATATGTATATTCCAAAAGAAAAATCAATTAATCTTTAAAAATTAACTAATTAACCAATTTAATTAATATTGATATTATTCTCTAAACTAACCATGCATGCTTGCTTGTTTATTAATAATTTTATTTTATTATCATCATTATTACTAGAAATTAGGATGATTCATAATCATAATTTTTTTTGTAAAAAAAAATTACTAACGTTTTTTCAGATATTTTACTAACATGTATATGTATGCACGTATATACATATGTGCGTGTGTATGTATGTGTGTATGTATGTAATAAGAAGGTTTCTATGTGCCTTTATAATATATTTTAATTCAAATTTTTTTTTCTGGTGGTAGTAACAAATAATAAAGATTTTTTAATGGAATTTGCTTTTTTTTGTCATATGGTGCCAACCCACCTAGAGTTATCAACATTCCGATAAATGGTGATCTTCACGTGATGTGTCAAGTGAAAACATTTTTATTGGTCAAAATACCAAAATTATTTATCTCAAAGAAATTTACAATATATAAAAATAATAATTAATATAATGATAAAACAAAAAGCAATCACTTAGCTTATTCTAAATTATTAAATTCTAGTTTTTCTAATTCTTTTAAAACTCCATCTGGGATCTTTCTATGTGATCTGTACTTTCTAACAGCATATTCTGCTAATTTTCCACCTATTCCATGTTTATATAGATCCATGTATCTCTGTGCTTTTTGGGCAAATCTTCTAATTGTAATCAAAGGCACAGAATCCAAGCTTTGTGGAACAGTTTCTTCTAACCCAGTCCATGAGTAATTGCAATTTTCTCTGGCATGATGCTTAGCAGCTCCCCAATACCTTTCAATGAAATTTAACTCAGTGAAATTTTGGGTAAAAGATACACTTATGCCCTGCCCTTTCAATCAACTCCTGAATTGCACCTTTTTGTGCTTGAAAATCTGGTTCAAGGGAAATGATTTTTCATGCACAACAATTCACTCTAGCTTGCATCTGCAACTTTTTTTTACAATTTTTACATTCAGCTAACAACCCTTCATGCCATTTCCTCTCTCAATTAATATTTGTTTCATTCCTTTAGGTTCTCCACATAATGATTCTACAAATTAAAAAAAAATTTTTTTTCGTTTAAATATTTATATATTAATATATATATGTATAAAATGTTATAATGTTGCTAAAAAAAATTTTCCTTCTTTATGTGAAGAAGCCAATGCTCCTGCAGAGATCATTCTTTTAGAGATTCGCCCTCAAAAAATTTTTGGACACCATGCATGGCAGTAGATCTCATGTCCACATTAAGTTGTTCAGCAGGTTGTGTCTTCTTTGGTTTCCTTGTTTGAGGAGTTCACAAACTCTTTGCCATTTCAGATCTTAACTTTGGCATTGCATGGAACAATTGTCCAAAGCTTTCTGTTTCTTTATGTCTGTAACTATTGAGTAGGGTTGGATTAAATTCGAAATAGGAGGTTGAGTAGCATTTCTTTTCTTCCTTGCTGGTTTCCGTTTTGCATCCTTGGTTTCTTTCCTTGGTTCTTTCCTTTTTCTTGCATCACTATCTTCATCATCTTGAACATCCATTGCTATTCCTCCTCCATCTTCATTGGTCTTCTGTCTTTTTGTTTCTACTGGCAACATTAGTTTCACCGTCTTTTTATCTTCAACCAAATCTGCCAACATAGAATGTTGGTTATTATTATTCTGGCGATTATTATTATTTACCCTTGGTGTGTTGTCCACATTAAGTTGTTCAGCAGGTTGTGTCTTCTTTGGTTTCCTTGTTTGAGGAGTTCACAAACTCTTTGCCATTTCAGATCTTAACTTTGGCATTGCATGGAACAATTGTCCAAAGCTTTCTGTTTCTTTATGTCTGTAACTATTGAGTAGGGTTGGATTAAATTCGAAATAGGAGGTTGAGTAGCATTTCTTTTCTTCCTTGCTGGTTTCCATTTTGCATCCTTGGTTTCTTTACAACTTGGTTCCTTCCTTTTCCTTGCATCACTGTCTTCTGTCTTTTTGTTTCCACCGGCAACATTAGTTTCACCATCTTTTTATCTTCAACCAAATCTGCCAACATGGAATGTTGGTTATTATTATTCTGGCGATTATTATTATTTACCCTTGTATTTCCATTACTGTTGTTATTATTATTGTTATTATTATTGTTGCCTTGGTTATTATTTCCTCCACTATTCCACTATTATTTTGGGGGGCAATTCATACTATAGTGTCCTGGTTCTCTACAGCGATAACAAACAACTCCTGCCTTGCCACTATTATTACTATTGTTATTATTGTTGTTGTTGTTGTTATTGTTATTGTCGTTATTATTATTATTATTCTGGAGTTGTGGGCAGTTGCATTTAACATGCCCAGGTTGATTACAGTGGAAACATTTGATCAGTGGATGACTTCTGTTATTTTGTATTCTTGGTCTTTGATCCTGTTGAGAATTTTTATTTCCTTGCATCAATCCAGCTAATTGCTTGATCAGGGTTTCCAACATTTGGTCTCCTCCTATATCCATTCCTGGAATGAAAGGTGTCACTTGTTGTGCCAAGTAAGCAGACAAACTTTCTCCTCTTGAGTAAGTCATCTCGTAAGCTTTGGCTCTGTCAATTGCTTCTTGCATAGTATCAGGTAAGAAAGGACTGACAGCTATTGATAGTTCTGGTCGTAACCTTTCCATGAACATTCTCTGTCTGGATAATTATTTCCACCATGTTCAATCCTTCTGAATAGTTCATAAATAGCTGCTGCAAAGGTATCAACAGTTCTCCTGGTAGTTGTCTTCACTTTTCTAGTTCTGCTGCCCATCCTTCTTCCATAGCTCTAGTCCTATATCTTCCTTGGAAGTTTGGAACAAAGCTTGCAGCTATAGTACTGGCACCAGTTTGATCATTCCATCTATCTATATTAGCTTGCACTTGATTCCACCATGTTGCTGCCCCTCAGTAATGCTACTGGTATCTTTCTATCATTTGCTACTCTGTTAGTAATAAAGCTTGCTCCATCTCTTCTAGCCATGTTATTGGATCTTGGTCCCTCCATAATATTCAGGATACTTTACATTGTTTAACTCTGGCACTGCTGCCTGTACTGGGTGAAGGGCATTAACTACTTGATTAAGTATAGCTGCAAGATTTTGTATATCATTTGGTTGACCCATTGGATTCAATTGTTGAAGTTGTTGATGTAGTTGTAGATTGAAAAGTTGGTTGAGACTTAGTGTTGATTCACTATCTGAATTGCTTTCTATTGTCAAATGACTTTCTTCTGAATTATTAACAGAATTACTTTCGATATCACTTGGATTATTATTATCTAGGTTATTGCTTTCTTCCTCACTTGTTTGTTCTGTAAAACTTGGGATGGCTTCTTCAGGTGCTAATGTAAATTGGTTGGTTCTTGCTGCTGTTGCTAAATAGTCCCTGTATGGGGTGTGGACAATAGAAACGGACCATGTTGTGAAAAAAGCAATTTTGAGTTAGTATCACTATTATATGTAATTCCTCATGTAGAACATTTTTAGCTTAGAAACCATACCCACTTTGCTTAATAAAACTTTGAGATACCCTCCATTAAAGTTTTAAAAATAATAGTAAATTACTTGAAATGCAGATCTTTTTTTTAAATTTTCTCAAAACATCATTTTCACGGGTTTACCCAATAGACCAACAGACGTTATACCAACAGCCGTTATACTGACAGGACATTTTACCAACAGGACATTTTACCAACAGGACATTATACCAACAGGACATTATACCAACAAGTCATTTTCTAATATATTCTATCAATTTAGCATAATACAGTCAACCCCTCTAAGTGCACCTCTCTAAATGCATGCTATTCCCAAACTTTTAGTGAGCTTATAAATTATTCCCTCTAAATGCACACCCTCTCTAAATGCATGTTCATGAGAAATAATGATATGTTCCCAAGGAAGGTGAACTTAGAGGGGGTTGACTGTATTTCTTTGTTTTCCTACCATAACTATATCAATTCATTATCATTATCCATTAATATTAATAAATGGCATATATAATATAGAGACTGGACCAACAAAACACGGTTCTGGGCTCCTTGACTCAAAATTGAGCTTTTTGTATCAAATTAATCAGCAATT